TTCTGTATTTCTGTGGAATGGGTTTCTTAGAATAGGATAGAGTTGAAAAAAATCTTAAATAAAGATAAAACTCTGAAATGGAGACATGGCACAGGACTTTTTTTATTTACTTATTTTTTATTGAGGTGAATTTTTTTTTTCTTTTTTTTTTTTTTGAGACAGAGTCTTGCTCTGGTCACCCAGGCTGCACGCAATCTCTGCTCACTGCAGCCTTCACCTCCCGGGTTCAAGCAATTCTCCTGCCTCAGCCTCCCGAGTAGTTGGAACTACAGGTGTGTGCCAACACGCCTGACCCATTGTTTTTGGATTTTCAGTAGAGATGGGGTTTCATCATGTTGGCCAGGCTGGTCTCGAACTCCTGACCTCAAGTGATCCACCCAGCTTATTGAGGTGAATTTGACATAACTTAAACTTAACTATTTTTTTTTTTTTTTTTTTGAGACGGAGTCTCGCTCTGTCGCCCAAGCTGGAGTGCAGTGGCGCGATCCTGGCTCACTGCAAGCTCCGCCTCCTGGGTTCACGCCATTCTCCTGCCTCAGCCTCCCAAGTAGCTGGAACTACAGGCGCCCGCCACCGCGCCCGGCTCATTTTTTGTATTTTTAGTAGAGACGGAGTTTCACCATGGTCTCGATCTCCTGACCTTGTGATCCGCCCGCCTCGGCCTCCCAAAGTGCTGGGATTACAGGCGTGAGCCACCGCGCCCGGCCTAAATTTAACTATTTTAAGGTGTTCAGTTCATTGGCATTTGGTACCTTCACAGTGTGGGTACCCATCATCTCTATCAAGTTCCAGAACATGCTGATTACCCCAGAAGAAAACCTTGTACTATTAAGCCACCGCGCCCAGCTAATGGTTTTTGTATTTCTAGCAGAGATGTGATTTCACCACGTTAGCCAGGCTGCTCCTGCACTTCTGACCTCAGGTGGTTCACCCGCCTCAGCCTCCCAAAATGTTGGGATTACAGGCATGAGCACTGTGCCCTGCCCATGTTTAACTTTTTTGTTTGTTTGTTTTGAGACGAGTCTCGCTCTGTCACCAGGCTGGAGTGCAGTGGCGCAATCTTGGCTCACTGTACCCTCCGCCTCCAGGGTTCAAGTGATTCTCCTGCCTCAGCTTCCTGAGTATCTGGGACTACAGGCGCCCGCCACCACGCCTGGCTGATTTTTGTATTTTAGTAGAGACAGGGTTTCACCGTGTTGGCCAGCATGTCTCCATCTCTTGACCTGGTGATCCGCCCACCTCAGCCTCCCAAAGTGCTGGGATTACAGGCGTGAGCCACTGCACCCAGCCCGTGTTTAACTTTTTGAGGAGCGAATATACTGTTTTCTGCAGAAGCTGGACCATTTTACATTCCACCAACAGTGTGCAAGGGTCTCCTCTTATCCATATCCCAACACTTACTTTCCATTTTTTAATTACAGCTATCCCTGTGGGTGGGAACTGGTAACCCGTTGTAGCACTGATTGGTGTTTTCCTAATGATTCAGATATCAAACATCTTTCCATTTACTTTTTGGCCATTTGTGTATCTTTGGAGATTGAAGTCCTTTGCCATTGTTTAATTGTGTTGTCTTTTTTATTGTTAAGAGTCCTTTATATATTCTGGAAGCTAGATCCTTACCAGACACATAGTTTGCAAGTATTTTCTGCCATTCTGTAGGTTGTCTTTTTTACTTTCTTGATGGTATCTCTTGATGCATGAAAGTATTGATTTTTGATGAAATCCAGTTTACCTATTTTTTTCTCACTCTTTTGGAATATCTGAGAAATGGTATCATTTTACCCCTATGTTTTCTTGTAAGAGTTTTATAGTTTAAAGCTTTTACATTGAGTTCTTTGATCCATTTTGAGTTAATTTGTGTGTGCTGTGAGGTAGGGATCCAGCTTCGTTTTCTTGTCTGTGGATATGTAATTGTTCCAGCACTGTTTGTTAAACAGAAACTGTGGTCTTGGCATTCTTGTTGAAAGTCAGTTGGCCTAGGTGTATGGTTATTTCTGGATTCTCAGTTCTATTCCATTGTTATATGTATATCCTTGTGCCTGCACTGTCATGTTTTGGTCACTATAGCTTTGTAGTAAGTTTTGAACTTAGGAAGTGTGAGTCCAGCACATATAGAAACTTAATATATGCGTATTATTCTTTTTATCAACTCATTCATTCATTGAATGACCAATTTATTCCACAAATAGTTTGGTCTGCTCAGTGCCAGGCCCTTTGCTGGGTTCTGTGGATGTGAAAACAAATTAAGGTGGAGTCATCCAACAGTTACAGTTGGGTGCCATACCAGTTTTACTGCAGACATGTACTGGATGCTGACTCAGCTCTACTGGACGCTGACTCAGCTGTAGGAGCAGAGCAGGCTGGGAAGCACCTTGGAGATGAGGCTGTCTGGGTGTGAGAGTCTGTTTCTGGTAGCAGAGACCTGGAGTATGGGAGGCCTGCTTGCCCTGTTAGGATTTGAACTGTATCCTGACAATCATGGGAGGCATTGAAGGATATTTAGGCAGGAAAATGATGTGAAGGGATTTGCATTTAAAAGAGATTATGAGGGGCTGGGCACAGTGGCTCACACCTGTAATGCCAGCACTTTGGGAGGCCTAGACAGGCGGGTCACCTGAGGTGGAGAGTTTGAGAGCAGCCTGGCCAAAATGGTGAAATCCCATCTCTACTAAAAATACAAAAATCAGCTGGGTGTGGTGGTGCACCTGTAATCCCAGATACTCAGGAGGCTGAGGCAGGATAATCGCTTGAACCCGGGAGGGGGAGATTTCTGTGAGCTGAGATTGCACCACTGCACTCCAGCCTGGGTAACAGAGTGAGACTCCATCTCAAAACAAAATAAATAAATAAATAAGAGAATAAAATAGATAATTTGGGCAACAAATTGTTGTTAATTCCCCGCCTTTGTTCTCCTCCTCCAGTACTGTGTTGGCTGTTCTGAATCTTTTGCCTTTTCATGTAAATTTCCGAAACTGTTGCTATCTGTTCTCTGCCTGTTTTATTTTTGTTGTTGTTGTTTGGGTTTTTTTTTTTTTTGAGACAGAGTCTTGCTCTGTCGCCCAGGCTGGAGTGCAGCAGTATGATCTTGGCTCACTGCAACCTCCGCCTCCCAGGTTCTAGCGATTCTCTTGCCTCAGCCTCCTGAGTAGCTGGGATTACAGGCGCGTGCTGCCACGCCCAGCTAATTTTTGTATTTTTAGTAGAGATGGGGTTTCATCTCTACTATGGGGTCAGGCTGGTCTCGAACTCCTGACCTCGTGATCCGCCCACCTCAACCTCCCAAAGTGCTGGGATTACAGGCATGAGCCACCGTGTCCGGCCTCTCTGCCTGTTTTTTAAGACTTTTGTCTTTGGAGTTTTGCAGTTTCTCCATGCTGGTTTTCCATATGAATTTCCTTTGATTTCTTCTGCGTAAAATTTGTGGGCCAGTTGGGCGCAGAGGCTCACGCCTGTAATCCCAGCACTTTGGGAGACCGGGTGGGTGGATCGCCTGAGGTCAGGAGTTCGAGACCAGCCTGACCCCATAGTAGAGCGAGACTCCATCTCAAAAAAAAAAAAAAAAAAAAATTGTAGACCTTCCTTGAGAAAAATAAAATAAAATTCTAGGCCAGGCGCGGTGGCTCATGCCTATAATCCCAGCACTTTGGGAAGCTGAGGCGGATGGATCACCTGAGTTAGGAGTTCGAGACCAGCCTGGCCAACATGGTGAAACCCCGTCTCTACTAAAAATACAAAAATGAGCCACGTGTGGTGGCACCCATCTGTGATCCCAGCTACTCGGGAAGCTGAGGCAAGAGAATTGCTGGAACCCAGGAGGCAGAGGTTGCAGTGAGCCGAGATTATGCTACTGCACTCCAGCCTGGGTGACAGAGTAAGATGCCATCTCAAAAAAATAAAATATAAAATAAAATTCTAAGCCCTGCAACCAACTGAATGGACCCCTCCCCTTGGTCAAGGGAACCCCAGAGAAACCTTGGAAGTCAGTTCCTGGCCATAGCAGGAGGGGAGGTCAGATGCGCCTCATTATACCCCTCCCTCCCCAACCACCATTAGGCTTTCTTCACTAAGGGCTAAACAGAAACCAACCCTTTTCAAAGACTCCATACTGCTAATGTGGATTACTGGCTTATCTTCCCAGATACAGATCAAAGACAAGATGAGATGAATGGTTCCTTCACCCTTCTCTGAGAGGTCTGCTTAGTTCTCTTCTTCTGTTTCCTTCTATCACTTCCTGAAGTCTCACAAGTACTTAACCATTCACCTCACAGCCACCCTCCCCCTTTGAAGGACCACGTATAATTACTAAACCTCCTGAGAACCTCTTGGGACAAAAACAACCACAGATGTGCTTGTGACTCATGTTTTTCCTGTGGGCACCCTCATGCTGGCTCAGCAGCCCTCGCTTGCTTGAGATCCTGAATCTGTGGGTTGGTGTCTTTCATGGTTGCTGGATAATACTCGGCCGTTATCTTGGGATATGCATTGCCCCTGGCCCGCTATCTGGCCCCTCTCTTTAGGGACCTCTGATTGAACCTACGTTAGGCCTTCTCTCTCCTGCTGTTCCTGATCACTCTTCTGTGCTGTCATTCTCCTCCTTGTGCTGCGTTCTGGGTGATTTCTCTGGTCTTTCTTCCGGTTTGCTAATATTGTGTTTTCTGTTATAAAGTCCTTCCATTGAGTGTTTGCTGCTTTCTTTTTTCCCAAAACCAACTCGAAACAGACGTTGAGCTTTAATTTTTTATTTCTGTACTTTTTATTTCTAGAAGTTCTGTTTGGTTATTTTTCACGTCTGCTACGTTATTTTTTAATAGTTTTGTATCTTTGATAGTTTTTTTTTTTTTTTTTTTTTTTTGAGATGGAGTCTCACTCTGTTGCCCAGGCTGGAGTGCAGTGGCGCAATCTCAGCTTACTGCAACCTCTGCCTCCCTGGTTCCAGCAATTCCCCTGCCACAGCCTCCCAAGTAGCTGGGATTACAGGTGCGCACCACCACGCCTGGCTAATTGTTTGTGTTTTAGTAGAGACAGGATTTCACCATGTTGGCCAAGACAGTCTGATCTCCTGACCTCATAATCCGCCCACCTCGGCCTCCCAAAGTGCTGGGATTACAGGCCTGAGCCACTGCGCCCGGCCTTTAATAGATATTTCAAGTGCGTCTTTTTTTTGCTTCCTTAATTTTTTTTTTTTACTATACCCCATGCCTCCAAGATAACAGTTTTTTCTTTTTAATTTAGATATAATACAGTTTTACTGTGTATCCAAGATTATCTGAAATCTTTTGTGGGTCTCTTTCTTTTGTCTTTTGTTTCTGTTGCTTCTTGCTGGATTGAGCCTGCTTAAAACAAGCCCCGTTAGCGGTAAAGGTTTCCCTTAGAAAGTCAGGTGTCTTCCTCTGTAACTCTCTCCCTTTTCCATCTGCTCCAAGGCATTAGTTTATATTAGTCTTGACTCAGTGAAGTTGTGTGCACTTCACCTTGGCCAGTAGGGAAGCAGTGTTTGGCAGATGTTACTCCTAATAATGCCAGCCAGTGAGTGAAGCCGACCTGAAAGCCTCCCCGGGCTGAGGCAATGGCATGATCACTGAAGCTCAAACCAGAGACAGTTTCACCTTGTGACTGAATGATGTTCGGTGTAGGCCAAATGCCTGCAGACTACTGTTGGGGGACCGGTGTGGTCTACCAGGTGTTTTCTTAGCACCAGAATGTCTCTGGTCACCATCCCAGGTGTAGAGCACGGTGTTAGATACGCTAGATGCCTGCCGAAGTAATAATGGGTGAAACGTATGATGTCCAAGATTTGCTTTTAAATGCTCCAACACCTCCTCCCAGATTCTGGAGGGCTATGACACAATCAGCTGTGAAAACTGGTAATTCCTAAAGCTGGGTACATGGGGGTTCGTGATACCTCTCCCACCTTTTTTGGGGGAGAATGTTTGACACTTTAATAAGAACTTGTTGCCTTTTCCTTTTACAGGGTGTTGCAGGCATCTTCCTCAGGCCTGTTTTCTCTGTTTTCCAGGCTGACGTGATGGCAGACAGGGTTCCCCGCTGCCCGGTCTGCACCGGTGTTGTGAAGCCCGACATTGTGTTCTTTGGGGAGCCGCTGCCCCAGAGGTTCCTGCTGCACGTGGTTGATTTCCCCATGGCAGATCTGCTGCTCATCCTCGGGACCTCCTTGGAGGTTTGTCAGCCTGTGCAGGGAGGAGGCTGGAGGGCAGGGGAAGGGAGGGGTACAGAAATCATCTCATGGGCCCTTCCAGGGCTGGTGCCACTTTCGGAAAGTGAGTGGATTCAGCTGGGGTTCCAGGCTGAGGGAACAGCAGCCTGTGCGGGAGACAGGAAGGTAGGAAGCTGCTGGGCTTTGGAGGTGGTATAGGTGCGGATGGGGCACCACATGTGAGGAGAAGGGAGGAGGAAAGGGGGCGTCGGGATGAGGTGGAGGGGCAGGCCTCCCAGGTCAGATTAGGAATACTGATGCTGCGTTGGGAGTAGTGATAAATCCAAAGGGACTGGCCCAGGGACGTAGCTGCACCCTTGGGGTCAGAGAGGCCTTTGGGGAGTGGAGAGTGGAGCAAGCAGTGCCAGGAGGCTGGTCCTGAAGAAGGTGGAGCTGTGGTCACCTGAGGGACAGCGAGGAGGGGGACTGGACTTGCAGCCTGTGTTGTTTTGGGGGTGTGAGAAGGAGGCGTCTGGCTTGTTCTGTAAAGTCAGGGCATTTGCTGGTGAGGCGTGATTTGGGAGGGAGGATGCCCAGCTCGGATGCCCAGGTCTCAGGTGCCTGGGAAACGCCCCCTGGATGTGGCCAAGCAGCTGTTCTGCGTCTGCGTCTGAAGCTCAAGAAATTCCTAAAAGCTGTGATGAGTCACGCAGTGTGTGTGTGACTGGATATAGGCACCAAGGGCAGAAGGGCCAGAAAGACCTGTGCTCCGAGGGGCCCAGGGCAGCCGCAGGGCCCAGAGCGTATGTTTGTTCGGGCCTTCATTGTGTGCTGGGCCCTGCTCCAGTGCTTTCAACATCCACAGTCAGATGTCAGTGTAAGAAGTTATGTAGTTTGTGAGGAGATGATTGATGTTCTGGGAAAGATAACAAGTAGGAAAGAAGGGCTAGGAGGGTTGGGAACCAGCTGCAGTGTCAAGCCAGGCAGGTGGAGTTGGAGCTAAGAGTTTACCAAGGTGAGGGGGGTCTGGCAGGGGACACTGCACAGGTGACGAACAGCAAGGAGGGTGGGGCGACGTCAGCAGTGACGGGCACGGGCTGGAGCAGAGAAGGAGGTGGGGCACAAGTGTCATCTCATGGGAGGCTGGCGCTGCCTCAGAAGATGAATGGATTCAGCTTGGGTTCCAGGCCAGAGCTTGGAAGTTAAGAGGACTCCTTTGGGTGCTGGGCTGTGAACCCACCACGGGGGCAAGACTAGGAGCAGCAGACCCAGCAGGGCCCTTGTAGGTAATCACTGGCTGGCACTGGCTGGGGGCCGGGTAAAGCCAGCAGAGGCTGAGGGGTGCTGGAGTCTGGGTGTGTGTGAACGCAGAGTGGGCGTGCCGGCGCGGTGCATGGGAGGGCGTGGGTTCCCAAGGACTCCAGGACTGTGGCTGGAGCAGCTAGAAAGATGGAGCCGCCATTTCCTGAGATGGAGAAGCCCTGGTAGGTGGGTTTGGGGGAGCTCAGGAACTCAGCCTTGTTTCCACGAATTTGAGGATGTGCTGCGGACTGGAGGTGTTGAGCAGGTGGATATGAGTCTGGAGTCCAAGAAGGCCCAGAGGCAGGAGCTGGGGTGCTGGAGTGAGCAGACGGGAGAGCCCAGGGTGTGGACAGACATGAGAATGCCAGGCTAGGCCTAGGATGGAGGGACAGACACAGCAGGAGCAGTCAGAGGGGCCATGGTGGTCAGCAGAGTGCGGGCTGAGAGCAGCTGACCATGCTGGCCACCAGGTGTGGACACTCGGACCACCAGCCGTCTTCATTATTGAAGTGAAATGAAAATGGCCTTTTTCCTTATTATAAGTACCATGTGCGTCTTTGAAAAGATTCATACAGGGCCGGGCACAGGGGCTCACGCCTGTAATCCCAGCACTTTGGGAGGCCGAGGCGGGCGGATCACGAGGTCAGGAGATCGAGACTATCCTGGCTAACATGGTGAAACTCCGTCTCTACTAAAAAAAAAAAAGATACAAAACATTAGCCGGGCGTGGTAGTGGGCGCCTGTAGTCCCAGCTACTTGGGAGGCTGTGGCAGGAGAATGGCGTGGACCAGGGAGGTGGAGCTTGCAGTGAGCTGAGATCGCGCCACTGCACTCCAGCCTGGGTGACAGAGAAAGACTCCGTCTCAAAAAAAAAAAAAAGAAAGAAAGAAAGAAAATATTCATACATTATATAAAGATATAAAGCAAAGAATCAACTTTTTAATCCCACTAACTGTTAGCATTTTATTCTGTGTCCTCTCAGGTTTCTTTTTCTGTACAAATGCACACGTACAGATGGTAATTTTTAACTAAAAGTTGGACAGCACTGTACATTCTATTCTGCAGCCTGCTGTTTTCATGTAACAATATGAGTCCATGGAGATCTGCTGCCTTGTGAATGCTGACAGTTTCCCTTATACGGATATGAGGTCCCACCTGAGAGGCCCATGTCTGTAAACACGGTGCCATCGTGAACTGAACGAGCTGGTGTCACGGATGGACTCTGTCTCATGTGCTTTGTGGACGAAATATTAATGTGTTTGACTATGGAGTACCACTCCGGATCCCCTTTAGGTGTGACATAGTATGTGGGGTGTAAACCATATGATCTTTTTTAAAATCTCAAAAATTCTGAAACATATTCAGCCACAAGAGCTTTAACATAGATTTTGTGGATTTAATACAAAGTTTATGTAAGCAATTTCTTACTGATGGACAATGACAATAAATTGTATATAATTTTTGTATTAAAAGTAATGCTGGGCCAGGCACTGTGGCTCACACCTGTTATCCCAGCACTTTGGGAGGCCAAGGCAGTAAGATTGCCTGAAGCTAGGCATTTGAGACCAGCCTGGGCAGTATAGTCAGACCTCGTCTCTATAAAAAATAAAAAGATAGCCAGGTGCGGTCTGTGTAGTTGCAGCTATTTGAGAGGCTGAGGCAGGAGGATTGCTTGAGCCCAGGAGTTTGAGGTTATAGTGAACTATGATCATGCCACTGCATTCCAGCCTGGGCAACAGAATGAGATCCCATGCTGTAGTGAATATCCCTGTGTGTCATCCTGATCTACCCATGCAAGTACTCCTGAAGGGTAAGTGCTGATAAATATTGAGAACTTGCCTTCCAGAAAGATGTAACAATTACATTGCCACAAACTGTGTTTTTGTGTAGCCATTTTCTCACATCCTCACCAAAACCAAAATCACACAAATCAAATTGGTTAAAAAATGCATGTGTGTGTGTGGAGGGGGGTGTGGATTTTGCATTTCTGTAGTAAAGAATGAAATTCATCTTTTCATGTTTATTGGCCAGTTGTGTTTCCTCTCTTTGGATTGTATATTTATATCTCTTGTCCATTTTTCATTGGGTCATTGTAAATTAGCAATATAAATTAGTTTTAATTTTAATAGAAATTAAATAATATAATATAAATCAATTTTAAGGTTAATATAAATTTCTTTTTTTTTTGTTTTGAGACAGAGTTACGCTCTGTCTCCCAGGCTGGAGTGCAGTGGCACGATCTCGGCTCACTGCAACCTCCACCTCGCAGGCTCAAGCCATTCTCCTGCCTCAGCCTCCCGAGTAGCTGGAACTACAGGTGCCTGCCACCATGCCCAGCTAATTTTTGTGTTTTTAGTAGAGACGGGTTTCACCATGTTGGCCAGGCTGGTCTTGAACTCCTGACGTCAGGTGATCCACCTGCCTTGTCCTCCCAAAGTGCTGGGATTATAGGCATGAACCACCGTGCCCGGCTATTAATAGAAATTTCATTATAAATTAGCATTATAAATTAGTTCATACATTATATGTTTATAAATGAGTTTATCAATTAGCAATATAAACTATTGTCATATGTTGTAAATATTTTTGCAGTTTTTGATGAGAGGTTTTTAAAAATTTTTAATTTTCTACATAGTAGTTTTATGTAGATACTGATGTAATAGTATTTACATAGTCAGATCTGTCATTTTCCTTTGCCTTATCTGACTTCAGTTTTCACATCTAAAATGTTTTTCCCTATCCTTACTTGTAAACTCTCAGTTTTCTTCAAGAACTGTTTTGTTTACATTGAAACCTTTAATCCATTTGAATTTTTTTTCAATGGGAGGTAGGAATGGAGCATTTTCCTCCCAGATAATGAGCCAGTTTTAATGCCATTTATTAGTGTGTCAATTTTTTACCTTGTTCCTCTTAAAAGACGCTTTGAGAGCTGTATGAAGAAGCCTGATGGCACCGAGCTAGGCCTCTCTAGAGGCTAGGTGGTGAAGACCATGGAGAGACGTAACAGTAACTCCTGCTTGGGGGCACCAGCTTCTCTGGGTGCCCGATGCTGGTGGGGGCTGTCACTGCAAGCAGGGCTAGCCAGAGGAGACGGACGAGTCTGTGCTGTCGTCCCTCTGTGGCATGCTGGGAGACAGCGAGCTGGGGAGGACAGGGAGAACAGAACGTGCTCACAAAGAGGAGGTAGGAAGGTTGGATCCCTGATGAGCCTTGGAACAGAGGTGGGGAGAAGCAAGGATGTGTGGAAGCAGCAAGGAGTGGAAGAGAGGGAGGCTGAGGGGAGGAAAGAGAGTCACTAAGGCCAAGCGGCAGGAGCTTAACTGAAGAAATGAGATTGGTGGTGGGTTTTCTGTATATTGCCGGGTCTGACTGCCAGTCTGCTGCTCCTCCAAGGCCTCAGTGGCTGTGGCACGAAACATCCTGCGGGGCTTGTAGGGTGGACACTGTACCCTCACATTTGGGCCATTTTTCAGGTGGAGCCTTTTGCCAGCTTGACCGAGGCCGTGCGGAGCTCTGTTCCCCGACTGCTCATCAACCGGGACTTGGTGGGACCCTTGGCGTGGCGTCCTCGCGGCAGGGACGTGGCCCAGCTGGGGGACGTGGTTCACAGCGTGGAAAGGCTAGTGGAGCTTCTGGGCTGGACAGAAGAGATGCGGGACCTCGTCCGGCGGGAAACTGGGAAGGTACAGACGCTGAGGAGGACCATCCAAGGGGCTGCCCTCCTCACTGCTCTAGGGTGTGGTCCATCTGGTATGGAGCCCCACTGGCTAACACGGTAACAGTCGTAACCGATGATGCTGTGAATCCTGCACCAGGCGCTACCTGGACCTGATTGGGTATTACTTTCAATACCTCCATTTAGAGATGAAGAAACAGATGGTAACAGGCCAAGCAGGGACACGGTCCAGACACTCAGGGCTGATGAGTCTGTACTCTTAACAGACTGTAGGCGTTATCTTCACTCCCTAAAGTAAAGCAGCCAACAGTGTTCCTCTAAGGCCTGGTATGTGATTCTGAGATGATACGGGTTAAAGAACTTTGAGAGGCTAAAGTTCTCTGCATCTGTGTGGGATGAAGGCTCCATTAGTGATGCTTTTCGGAAGTAATTGGTATGAGAGCCATTGATCGATTATAATCTGCTGAGGAAAGCCAAAGGGGCTCGATGCTTTCTTTCTAAGAGATTCCAAACCGCCTATAAATAAGTGAAGTTACAGAAAATGCAGTTTCCCATGAGAATCATGTAGCATGTGTAGCCTTGATATTAAGGGTTTTCAGTGGGAGGTAGCATTAAGCATTTAAAGTCCAGCGTTGCCGGGCGCGGTGGCTCACGCCTGTAATCCCAGCACTTTGGGAGGCCGAGGCGGGTGGATCACGAGGTCAGGAGATCGAGACCATCCTGGCTAACATGGTGAAACCCCCGTCTCTACTAAAAATACAAAAAAAAAAATTAGCCAGGCGTGGTGGTGGGCGGCTGTAGTCCCAGCTACTCGGAGGCTGAGGCAGGAGAATGGCCTGAACCCAGGAGGCAGAGCTTGCAGTGAGCCAAGATGGTGCCACTGCACTCCAGCCTGGGCGACAAAGTGAGACTCCGTCTCAAAAAAAAAAAAAAAGTCCAGCGTTATGATTACAGGCAGATGTGACACTGTCCAAAGGGGATTTCACCAGTGTATTAGTGTGTTCTCATGCTGCTAACAAAGGCATACCTGAGACTGGGTCATTTATAAAGGAAAGAGGTTTAATGGACTCACAGTTCCATATGGCTGTGGGGGCCTCACAATCACAGTGGAAGACAAGGAGGAGCAAAGTCCCGTCTTCCACGGCGGCGGGCAAGAGGACGTGTGCAGGAGAACTGCCCTTTCGAAAATGGTCAGATCTTGTGAGACGTACTCACTACCACAAGAACAGCATGGAAAAGCCCCGCCCCCATGATTCAGTGACTTCCACTTGGCCCATCCTGGACACGGGGGGATTGTTACAATTCAAGGTGAGATTTGGGTGGGGACACAGCCAAACTGTATCCACCAGAATGTATCACAATTGATGCTCCTCTTGTCTTCCAAGGCAGGTGTCTTAGGAAATCCTGATCCTTTTTCCTCGTCCACAGCTGTGGCTGCCTCATGGCTCAGGGCCATGGGGTCAGCACTCTCCTCACCTCCACCAGCCCAAGACCTCCAACCTCTGGTCGCAGGCTGATTTTTTACCAATCATGGTCACTTCATTATGGTAGCAGGGAACCCAGCTAACAACGAGACTTAAACGCTGAGGCGAGTGCCTCCTGGCCAGCTCACAAGGCAGCAGAGGTCTTAGATCAGTCCAGTAGGCTTTTTTGAGGGAGCCCTTTCCTGCTCTGACTTCCTATTTTCTTTTTTTTGTAACGGAGTTTCACTCTTATTGCCCAGGCTAGAGCGCAGTGGCGCGATCTCGGCTCACTGCATCTCTGCCTCCCGGGTTCAAGTGATTCTGCTGCCTCAGCCTCCTGAGTAGCTGAGATTACAGGCACATGCCACCATGCCTGGCTAATTTTTGTACTTTTAGTAGAGACGGGGTTTCACCACGTTAGTCAGGCTGGTCTCAAACTCCTGACCTCAGGTGATCCACCTGCCTCGGCCTCCAAAGTGCTGGGATTACAGGTGTGAGCCAGCATGCCCGGGCCCAACTTCTGTTTTCATAGAAAAGCAGATTATAATTCTGGTAGCTCCTGTGGGGTTTTGGAAGTGGCCCAACAGGATTTGAACTGTGTAATGTAGTTTCACACAAATGTACGTAAAATGGGTTATGATTTTTTGGTTTTTAAAGAATTACTATCCAAGGGGTTACTTTTCCAAATAGTGCATGGTTTTAAGCACACGAGCATCAGTACATCTTGATTTGGGCACTTCAGGTCCCTTAGAATGAGGCTCTCCGTTTAGCCACCCTGCTCTGCCCAGGCCTGCTGGGATGCTCTTAGCCTGCACAGCAGCAGTATTTGCAGAATGCAGCTTGTTTTGTGAGATATTTTGCATGTTTGCAGCTAGATCTGTTTGACCAGAGATCTGCTGGCCTGCCTGGGTGTGTTAAGAGACAGCTGATACCCTCTGTCTTCTGTGTTCCAGCTTAATGGACCAGACAAATAGGATGATGGCTGCCCCCACACAATAAATGGTGACATAGGAGACATCCACATCCCAATTCTGACAAGACCTCATGGCTAATTTTGGTGAAACCAGAATATGTGAACTGAGTGGACACCGGAGGCTGCCACTGGAATGTCTTCTCAGGCCGTGAGCTGTGCTGCGCTGACTGGTAGGGCTGTGTTTACGTTCAGGGCCACCCCGTCACATATACAAAGGAGCTGCCTGCCTGCCTGTTTGCTGTGTTGAACTCTTCACTCTGCTGAAGCTCTTAGTGGAAAAAGCTTTCTTCTGTGACCCTCTTGAACTGAACAGACCGACTGGAATCCCAGACCGAGTTTGCTTTCTGTGCCCAGGTGAAGGGCAAGCTCAGCATCTGTTGGTTAGAAGATCCAGACTTGGGCCGAGCAGCCCCCAGCCCTCTTCATGTCCCAAAGTGTAGTCCTGAGGCCCTGGTGCTGCACTTCTAGCATGTTGGTCTCCTTTAGTAGGGCTATTTTTAATGAGAGAAAATCTGTTCTTTATTTCCAGCATGAAATACATTTCATCTCCTCAAAGGGACTGCAAGGTTGACATGAGTTGGAAAGGGAACCCTGGAATACATGGCATCCCCTCTATTGGAACAGTCTGAGGACTGAAGGCATTTGTCCCTGGATTTATTGGAGATGGCCCAGCTCCTCCCTCTGAAGGTGGTCACATTATGTTGACTTTCCATACTCAGCCTCTCCTCCAGAAACAGATTGGTTCCAGAACATTCCAGCCACTTTTTTTTTTTTGAGACGGAGTCTCCGGCTGTGTCCACCCAGGCTGGAGTGCATGGCGCGATCTGCGGCTCACTGCAAGCTCCCGCCTCCCGGGGTTTAACCCATTCTCACTGCCTCAGCCTCCCGAGTAGCTGGGACTACAGGCGCGCCACCGTCGCCGGGCTAGTTTTTGTATTTTTTAGTAAGAGACGGCGGGGTTCAGCGCGGGTTAGCCAGGATGGTCTCAGATCTCCTGACCTCGTGATCCCACCGCATGCGGCTCCCCAAAGTGCTGGGATTACAGGCTTGAGCCACCGCGCCCGGCCCATTCCAGCACTTTCTATCTGGTCTCCTTGTCCCCACACTAGTCCCCCTCCCCCAGGGCTTCCTCCAGTGACAGTTAGAGCTAATCTCTGAGACAGGGAAGGCATTACTCACTTCAAACCCAGGCTGAGTCCTGGCCACCTGCTGGATTGTGACATATGAGGTGGAATCCACTGAGCTCCCACTTCTGCACAGGCTCCTTCTGGGGCAGCACCAAGGCCCAGCTCTGATGGCTCGCCCTGTCAGGCACCAGCTGCTTCCTCCTGGGCTCTTACCCACATGCACATCCTCCTTCCTAGCATCAGATTACCTGCGTGTTTCCCCAGACAAAAGCACTTCCCATTCCTGAACCTTGCCTACCCTGGGCTGAGCTGATTTAATGACAGTGACTCCCAGGAAGGGGATCCTGTGACTTTGCTCTGGTAAGAACAAAAGGTGGAACTGGTGACCTAGGAAAAGTGTTGAATTCTAAAAAGAATGAAATTAGTTTCTAACTCTAGTTAATGTTCCTTTTTTTATTTTATTTTTTTGAGAGTCTTGCTCTGTCGCTCAGGGTGGAGTGCAGTGTTGTGATCTCAGCTCACTGCAACTTCCGCCTCCCGGGTTTAAGCGATTCTCCTGCCTCAGCCTCCTGGGTAGCTGGGACTACAGATGTGTCCCACCACGCCTAGCACAGGGGCATATTTGTAATAGAGACGGGTTTTGCTGTGCTTGCCAGGCTGGTCTCGAACTCCTGGCTTCAAGTGATCCACCCGCCTCGGCCTCCCAAAGTGCTGGGATTACAGGCATGAGCCACTGTGCCTGGCCCCTTTATTTGATAATTTACACATATATTCACACATACGTTTTTGCCCAAAACACTTTATTTCAAGATGACGTTTCTGTGGCTATGTGTGGTATGTGGTATAAATCTCAATCTATGGTCGCACGAGGGGCATTTTCCTTCTTGTAAGTGCAGTCTAAACCAGTAGGAAGGAGGTTTAATTGCCAAAACCAGTAAGAACTTGGGCACTGTGGGTACTACAGTGGGCAGGTGAACGAGGACCAAGGAGAATGTCTAAGAGGCCTCCAGCCCTGCGCTCGGTGAAGACAGGACAGAAACAACAAAGCATACATACCTTGGAAGTGTGTGTCCTGACATACTCGTATAGAAAGTTCTGACAGGTTCTTTCTCCCTGGGAAGTGCAGCACATGCCCCAACACACTGGCTCTGCCAGCGTGCCCATCCCAGATGTGCTTGCTTTGTGCACACCCACACCCAACCCCCTGCCCTCCCATATGCTCTTCTGTGTGTCCAGGTAGGCCCTGCCCTCAGGCAGCAGCTTCTGAACACATTCCTCTTGGCACAGACAAAAGAAAGTACTTTGTCTGTGGAATTCAAGGCTGAGCCCTGAGTTCTAGCACAAGAAGACCACTGCAGTCCAGAGATAAGAAACTGGACCAGAGGCAAATCATGAACAGAACCTTGGGAGTAAAGAGAAGGGGTTTCTAAGATGGAGAGAGGAGCGTGGAGCCAGTGGGATGTGGCTTCCCCAGGTTGCAACCCCAAGGAAGTCTCTGGAAGCAGCACCAGTTCTGATGGGAGAGCAGAAGAGCTGCCATCCTCAGTCAGGGTCCGAGTCAGGCTCTGAGGAGAGCTGCTGCTCCATAGTCTCACACATGGCATCCTGCAGGGACGTGAGATGACCCCGGGGACTCATCCCCATTGGCTGGATGACTCTGTTCCTGTGGGGAAAGGTGCAGTGGGGCTGGGGAAGGGGCCCAGTTGGCCAGGCAGGGGTCCTGCTCACCCCTGGCTGCTACCTTCCTCTTCACCAAGTAAGCTGCTCTCATTTACGGGGGAAGCCTGGTTGGACCTTCCGTTAATTGGGCCCAAATCCTAACTGCTACCTCATGGCTTTAAGCAGTTTCTTAATTTAGACATCTAAATTGGTCTTAAGCAGTCTGTTCATTTGGACACTGGGCCATCTCCAATAAGTGTAGCAACGTTAGACGGTCTCTTTTTTTTTTTTGAGACGAAGTCTCACTCTGTCGCCAGGCTGGAGTGTAGTGGCACAATCTCAGCTCACTGCAATCTCTGCCTCTCAGGTTCAAGTGATTCCCCTGCCTTGACCTCCCAAGTAGCTGGGACTACAGGCACCCACCACCACGCCCAGCTAACTTTTTTTTGTATTTTAGCAGAGACGGGGTTTCACCATGTTGGCCAGGATGCTCTCGATCTCCTGACCTTGTGATCCACCTGCCTCAGCCTCCCAAAGTGCTGGGATTACAGGCGTGAGCTGCCATGCCCAGCCTTAGACAGTCTCTTAATTTCTCTGGGCCTCAGTTATCATCTGTAAAATGGGCACAATACTGATCTCAATATACCCATCCCCTGGGGGGATTTCCTCTAGGGCAAGTGATTTCAAACATCAGCAATGCAACCTAACACCAGGATCCTAAGCTCTCCTCTGATCCTACCTCCTGGGGCTCACAAGACAGGATGTGGGTCAGCTCTCCCTTCTCCCAGCTACAGGCCCCTCCTCATCATGCCACACACCTGGAGAGCTTGTCAAACATGGTCACCAGCTTCATGGCCTCGTGCTCCTTCTGCTCCTCCGTCATGCCCTCCATAGGGTTAGGCGGCTTCTCCTCCACCCTCCCGGTCACCGGGTTTATGCTGTTTCCCAGCAGGTGGAATGTGGGGAATGCATTAGTGACTCTCTAGGACAGGAGGCAAGCCACCTCTTTTCCCAGTGGGGTGAGGTGGGCAAGGCAACTGCAGGAAGAGGCCTCCCTCCAGAAGCGGCACTGGTAACCAGCAACTGCCACCTGCCATCTTCTGGTATCCCAGATGGCACTCAGGGACAGGTGCTTGATTCTGGAAGGTCTTGCCCACTGGTCATCCTGTCCCACCCTACAGTGGTCCACATGGATGTTGAAGCAGGGACTAGGGGCTGTGAGTGGAGACCCGAGGGGGTGTTGGGGGCACACACCTGGCCTTGGCTTCCTTGTACTCGTCTGTGTCTGTGTCCTCATCCTCCGAGTATTGGCCCTCAGGCCGGCCTCCCGCCATGAGGCCCCTGGCAGCCAGAAGGCCAGCAGCATTCCCATAGCCCGTGTACTTGATGAATCGGGGCACTGGGGGGCAAGGCAGAGGTCAGTGTGCAAGCCTGGCTGAGGTGGGGGCGCTGGGACCCGGATCTCCATAACTCACCACTCTCAGAGCACAGGACAAACAAGAACTCGGCGGCCACTCTCTTCACATCTGTGTCCAGGTGTGTCATGAGGCGGACAAGCTTGTTTCGCAGCATCTCCCCAACCTCAGGCCGTGTCCTCACATCCCGCAGAGGGGGCAGCACCTGGGGAGGTGGCCGTCCCTAAGCTTGGGCTTGGTCTGTGATCAGGGCCGAAACCACATCCCCCAGGAGTGCCAGCTCCTCAGTCTCATACCTGGGCCTTCAGGAACTTCCTGGCTGGGCGGTGCATCCGGGCACATTCGGTCAGCACGCTCAGCACGGGAGCTACGCTCTCCTTCAGCCTGTGTGTCTGTAGAGGAGCCTCTGTCACCGTGGCTGTGCTCCTGCCTAATTTGAGACTGGCGCAGAGTTACACCCCCCACCGCCCCTTCCCACCAACATACACAGCAGCTGGTCCTGGTGGCAGAGGTTTGGGAAGAGGCCCCTCTGCAGTTAGTCAGCGGAAGGCCAAGAGTGGGTGGTGGGTGTCTGTGTCACTTTTGAAAAGGACGGGCACAGAGCTTCACTCAGAGGTACTTGTTGTAAGCTTGGTGACTTGGGAGAAATAACTGCTTTAAGTCTAATTACCTCAACTCTAAACCAGGGCTGGGAAGAAAACACAAAGCAATTAAAGCTTTAGACTGGCACACACATTGCCCTCAGATGTTGGTGGCAAAAAGAAACGAGAACCGAATCCCCGCTCTGGGTACTTCATGGACAGAGAGCAGGGAGTTCCTGACCCTCCTAGCATAATGTGCCTGGACCCCAGCACCAGCAGTGGCAGCGGCAGCGACAGCGACAGGCACAGACAACCCCCCAGCTGTATGTCCAGTGCCAGCTCCCTACCCTGACTGGCTCACACACACCATGTGTGTCCCCTGCTTAGGCAGGTAGATTCCCGAGAGGTCTCCTAAATCTCGGTTTATTGTGCTCCAGCCTGCTTTCTGCAAGCTCCTGGAGGATGGTTAGAGCCCTAGCTGTCCAGATGCCCTGTAGTGCAGTCACAGGAATCAGAGGGAAGCTTTGATCTGAGGTTCCTATGGGTCTCCTCAGGATGTTGAGGGACAGCTATGCTTGTAATCAAGGGCTGCCTGTGTCTGAGAGTTAAAAGCAGGGACTCGGGGGCTTCTCAGGACCACTCAATAAAGATCCACAAAGATTTAAGAAGTGAAACCTTCAAGTGTGTGGAAGGTGTCCACATGCTTCTCATGAAGGAAGGGTCTAGCTTGTTGCCAGGCTGGACCACAGAACAGCCGGAAGAATCGCCTGTATCACACCACCAAGATGATTTCCACTTACCAATGTGGCCAGTGTAGAAGCACTGACCACAGCTGTGCAGGAGAACCAGTGCCAGAGCCACTGGGGGAGCCTGTACAGCCATCCCCAGCCTACCTGGTGCAAACGCTTCTCTAGGAAGATGAGGAGGGCACGAATCACATCCATATTCACTCCCATGAACTCCACGGAGTCTCCGTGTGGCTCCAGGGTGAGGAGAACATCCAGACACTTGAGAGGCAAGTTCCCCAGGAGGTTCACTGCGTGGCTGAGGACAGAGGGAGGTGGGGGTCTCAATAGGGCTAATCTCTCAGCACAGATGCAATCTTTGTGCCCCCAATGAACCACACATGACATGAGCTGGCATCTGAGGCCCAAAGGGGCGGCACTGGGGACCAAAGCCAAAGGCAGGGACTGATCTGAGAGGCACTGCCACTCAGCTGTACAGTGGGGTCCCCTGGGGAAGTGGGGGCTGAGACACCCTGCCTCCCCTACCCTGTCTGGGCCAAAGCGCCAGACCATCTCTGGAAACCACACCAGCCAAGGGGCAGGTGGACCAAGAATGGGGACAAGGAGCCAATGTGCCCTAGTAAATACCACACTGTTGCCACTACCCAAGGCCCAGGTGGCACATTCCTGCCCCCAAATTCATGGCTGTTGTCCTGGCCACATATTAGAAGCACCCAGTATTCTCTGGAAACACACCGATGTCCGGTCTCACTCACCCAGACAAAGTCAGACCCTCTAGGGTGCGGCCTGGGCTCTCAGGTGGTTCTGGTTCACGGCCAGGGTTGAGGACGACCATCTAGACATGTGGACACACTTCCCTCCCAGAAAAAGCCCCATCCTCACCCATGGAACTCCTCTGTGCGGTCTCCAGCAGTAGCAATCATCACACAGTGCCGGAGAAGGGTCCCCAGGTGTCGGTAAAGAGCAGCGTCTTCCTGACCAAAGAAAGAAGGGTTCCTGTGAGGAGCCCCACTCATCCCACTGCTGCCTGCTGAGGCTCTACTGTCTGTTGCACTCCAGAACTGTGTGGCAATGACTGTGCACCTCCTGTACTGCACACTTGGTCCCCTGGGGTCTCCTAGGTGACTGGGGGCAAAAGATGACCACTGCTGTCTTCCTAAAAACTCTGTGAGTATTCTTCTAAGAGCACGTCCCTGATTAGGAATGTTAACACACACCCTTGGGATGAAGTCACACTCTGTCTCAGCCCCACTCACAGCCTCATGGTGGAGGATCTCTTACAGTCTCCCCGGAGAGCACACAGCCCCCTGCCAGGCAGCAAGAGCCAGAAGGGGCCTCTACTTCCCTCAGAATCCTCCCCTAAGGTCCCAGCCCAGAACTGGCATCTCCTTGGCCTTGTCCCAACACGCTGGGAGGTCCTGTCCTCTCCACGTCTGACACCCAGAAACCTGAAGGTACCCAGTGGGAAGCAGGTCCAGGAAATGTTGGAGCTGAGTTGAGACCCATCCATGGGTTGAGGTCAGCGCTCACCTCGTCCACCTCCCCCTTGATGGAGTCGAGGGTGATGTTGAAGAGCACTTTGAGGATCTCCATGGCCCGCTCAGTCTCTTGGGAAGGAAGGAGCTTGGGTGGGTTCCCTTCAGGAGTCACCCCCAGCGTCAGCTCCAGTGTGTCAGTCAGCAGATGCACTCCTTTCAGCTCCTGAAACAGCTGCTGGCGCACATCGGTGCGGAGTGCCGTTAGCAGGAAGAGGAGCCTCAAGTCAAAGAACTGGACATCGTGGGGGAAGCTCCTCTCACGGTACAGCCCCACACGCTCTGTGAGCTTCACCACTAGGCGGGCCTCTGCTGCCAGCATCTGTGCCACAGGGCTGCTGAGCACGAGGTTGCACAGGCACTTGAGGGACTCCAGTACAACATCCATGTCGGGGGAGTCTGGGACGGACCCCTCAGAGCCAGAGATGTCAGCATAGCAGGCCAGTGCCTGCAGGCTCTGGCGGCTGGTGAACGGGTCCAAGCAGTTGCGGTCCCGGGACAGGATTCGGACACTCTGCAGCCAGGTGACACGGTGGGAGGGTGGCAAGCCCTGTTCCAGGACGGAGACCAGCAGCTCCGCCAGCCTCTGTGGGCAGGGAGAAGAGCGGCTCCACCAGGCCCCTCTTCCTGGGGCCACCCGTCCCTGTCCCTTTACCCCTCGGGCCAGCACCCACCTTCCGGTCCTCCTGTTGAGCATCATCAAACGTGAAGCTCTGGGAGTGCTGCAGAGAGAACGAGTGAATTCAAGTCCACAGAGGGGCAGTATCCGCGCCCGCTGACGGGGGGCGGCCTATTGGCCTCTAACTCAGGCAGCAGCCACTGCTCAGAAGGGGTGGCAGGGTCTACACTCGCCCCCATCCCTACACACCTGCCACCCAACGGGTGCACCCCAGACACTCTCCCCCCAACACTGCATCCCTGACGTGCCACCCCCACCCCGCCGCGTCCCCTCTGCTTGCTGACACAACCCCTGCCTCACCCACACCGTCCCGACCACCCGCGCACGACTCTGCCCCACCCCCTCCGTGCCCGCCCCCCGGCCTCAGGCGGCCGCTCACCTCCTGGTTGTACGACCGCAGAGCTTCCATAATCACATCCTCCTTCCCCGTCTCCACGGCTTCTGCAACCGCCCGGGGCTCCATGGCGCCCACGGAACCCGGCGCGGGGAAGGCGGGACGGGCCCTTCCTCAACCTTTCCGGGCCGCAGTTCGCCGGCCCCGCCCTGGCCCAGAAAGCCCCGCGCCAGCGCGCGGAGGACGCCGGGACGGGACGCGGCGTCTGGTGGCGCTTCAAGGGGGCGCGGCCTGAGGCAGCACTGGCGGCTCGGAGGTTTTAAGACCCGAGTCGGGCCGAGTCGCCCTGAACCGAACTGACCCCCCTCCTTGTGACCGGGGCTTCTTGGGCCGGAATTTCCAACAGGAAAGGATCTCAGCCCCCACCGCGCCCTGCCACACACACAGTGACGCCCCTCGAGCTCCACAGAACCGATGGGATGTAGAGGGGAAAGCCGAAGTGGAAAGGACTTTTCAGTCCCGGGCCATTGGGTTCGTTAGGCGTTTGCTGGGGAATGCAGGCGAACGGGACTCCCAGGTCCCTGCCTTTGTGGAGCTTATGTTCCAGAGGGGAAGGCAGACAAGGAAAAACAAAAGGACATGAGGCGGTCACAGGGCTGTGCTTCAAAAGAAGCAAAAGGTGACCGCTGGGCTGCAAGGGCTGTGAGGAAGTGCTGTTTTTGCTAACACTGGAGGATGGGAAGCGAGCCGGGAAAAGACTGGAGGAGCCACTCCAGGCAGAAGGAGCAGCACTTGCAAAGGTGGAAGGGCCGTGAGGGGCCGAGAGAAAGGGGAGCAACCCAGTCTGGCCTGGACTCAGTTCCCTCTTGAAAAGCAAAGATCCTGCGTGTCCGTTTCAGTGGCCATCAGGAGGATTCAGTGACGCACAGGAAGCGCGGTCCACTCGCTCTTGTAACAAGTGCCCGGGAGCAAAAGCGTCTACGGCCCCCACTCCCCGTGCCGCCTCCCAGTCTCTTTCCCTGCTTCACTTTCCTGTAGTGCTTTCTGCACACCTGTATTCGACGCGGCGCGCACTCGCAGGCACTAGCGAGGCGCCGATCTCCACTTGACAGAGGAGGCACCCTTGCCCCCTCCACACCCAGGGCTCCTCGCGGGCTTCTGCCCGAGGGGCCTACTCCTCCCTCATGACCCGCCTGTGAATCCTTCCTAACCGTTAGGACCTAACGCATGGCAGCGTCTTTCCACCACCATCGTCTTGGCGCTGAGCAAGCAAACGGCCCCGCCCCGCCCCGCCCCACGTTCACAGGAACAACAAACAAACGTCACATCCGCGGTGCTGCTGTAATCCCAGCACCTTGGGAGCCCGGCGGGCGGGGCCTGCAGTGAGCTGAGATCGCGCCACTGCCTGGGCGACAGTGCTGAAAATAAGTCACAGCGACGCCCATCGCTTCCGCGACCCCGCGGTTCCCCACCCTCGGCCCTAAGCCGGAAATCCGCGAGCCCGACGCGGAAGCGGCTGGGCCATCTAGGGGCGTGGTGGGCGCGGAGGCGGGGCCATCGCTGGCGGGGGGCGGGGCCGGAAGCCCGTTCCCCGTGACTGCGCCACGTCTGAGGCGGCTGTGGCCGCGTCGGTGTTGGCGTCGAGGAGCCGGGGCAGGGCACGATGGCGGACTGGGCTCGGGGTGAGCGCGGGGGAGCGGAGCCGTTGGGGGCAGGGCCGGGCCGGAACCGACGCCGCTGCCTGTAGAGCCGCGTGCGCCTGCCTCTGGCCTCGGCGGGGAGGACCCTGTCAGGGGGGCGGATTCGGATCCTTCCGGGTCCCAGCAGGGCCGGGTTTCGGCCGTCACTGCCGCTAGGAAGGACGGCGGGCGGGGCGGCCCAGCAGCTCCAGCGAGGGGTCGCGCAGCTGCGGGGTCCCCCCACTCCCCGCCGCTCCCTGTGAGATCGTTTTGCATGGGTTCAGGGTGAGCGGGAGTCTCGGCATTCGACAGGTCCCGAGGCCAGGCCCTCGAGGTAGAGGCCTGTGCTCCGCTGGTGTCCAGGCAGGCCTCTACTAACTAACTTGGGCCTCGGTGGCCCCATTTCCCCTCCTGGAGCCCGTGTTCTTCTCTGCAAAGTGGGATATTGATGCCTGTCTTTCTGAGTTATGATGAGTAAAGGAATTAATGAACGGGAAGTGGTTGGAAGGACGCTGGCATCCCTTCCTTACGTTGAAGCTAGGGAGAAGGTGGTTCTCACCCACCTGAGGTGACAGAAATTCCTTATCACCTGGCCCAGCCTGTCACAGGCCAGGCGTCTGCAAGCGCTGTGCCCTGGGTGTTGCAGGAAGCCCTGTGTGCGATGCAGACCAGGGATCACGCTCCTGGTCGACCTCAGCTCCCATCTTGGGGAATTGGGAACTTTGCTCAGCTGTTTTCTGTGCGGTAAAGGGCCTTCCCAATGTTCTGTCCTGGTTCCTTGCCACCTCTTCAGGACCCAGCTCAAAGGTCATCCCTGCAGGAGCCTTTCTGCTGCCCTGCTGGGTACTTTTCCCAAGTCTTTCCTATGCTCTTAGCAGAGTTTACTCTTTTTCTATAAGAATGGGCTCCACATACACAGATGGCGACCTCCCTGGATGCAAGTGTCACATCTTACTAACATCCCAGAGCTGGGTCCAGTTTTTGCTACACAGTCTCAGAAGGTGCTGGTTGGACTGAACCCATTGTGGGTGCTGGCCCATCCCCACCTGGATGTGTACACAGGACACGTGTTCACATGACAGGCCCTTGCACACATCGTCCTTTATGCAGCCTGTCACATGTGCAAGATTCACCTGCTGGAACCTAGGTTAGGGCCCCTAGATTTCTGACTCACCCAGTTGTGGTTGGAGTGAGAGGGGTCAGGGGCCTCGCTCACCGATGGATGCAATCACTCAGCCCCTCTCTTTTCTCAGCTCAGAGCCCGGGCGCTGTGGAAGAGATTCTAGACCGGGAGAATAAGCGAATGGCCGACAGCCTGGCCTCCAAAGTCACCAGGCTCAAATCGGTCAGTGGTGGTCTGTCCTCTTACCTCCACCTGGTGCCCTTGGGGAATGGGGATCAGAGGGAAGGTAGAGGGCCCAGAGGAGTTTCAGGCAGTTTGCCGTCCTCCTCGTTCGATTCGTGGCTGTGCTCACCTGCATGAGGCCCCAGCTGACACCTGGACCTTCCTGCTGCTGCCCCACTGTGTCTGGCAGAGTTGTTGGCAGGGTTTGTCTGGTCTGGGAAGGGTGAGTGCTGTATTATATGTCTGCTCTGGCCCAACCCTGCCCTCTCTATGTGCTGAACAGCTTGCCCTGGACATCGATAGGGATGCAGAGGATCAGAACCGGTACCTGGATGGCATGGTAAGGGCCCAGGGTGTGCGCGAATCAGTGCCCTGCCCCCAGCACTACTTGCTACAGAGCTTGCAGTGTCTCCTTCAGCACTGGTGCGGGTGGGTGGTCAAATCACCACTTCTGTGTGATCTTGCCGGGATTCTTCCCTTAGGACTCGGATTTCACAAGCATGACCGGCCTGCTTACAGGGAGTGTGAAGCGCTTTTCCGCAATGGCAAGGTCCGGACGAGACAACCGGAAGCTTCTATGTGGCATGGCTGTGGGTCTAATTGTGGCCTTCTTCATCCTCTCCTACTTCTTGTCGAGGGCAAGGACGTGAGACAGTGGGAGCTGGTGTCTGTGGGTGCCAAGGGCAGCCATTGTCTTCCCTGCCTGGCGTCTTGGGCTCCAGAGGACTTACCTACAAAGTACTCCTTTGAAATTATAATCGTGGGCCAGGAATCCTTTCTGTCTGGCAGGAGGCTGCGGCTGCCTGTGACCTGATGAGCTCATGTTGGCTGGTCCCATGTGTGGAAGGGACTCTCTCGGGGAAACCAAGGCCCAGCCCCTCCCCCCTCCCCCAGGTGCTAGAGACACAAGCAGAGCTGGGGCCGCAGCGTGTCTGGAGGAGCCAGGTCTGAGCAGAGCAACTGTTGAATCCCAGGCGTGGCCACCTGTGGCCTGCAGCCTTTCTCCCAGCTCTTGGGACACTGACATCTGAAGGTTCCACAGTCGTGTCCTTGTCTGGATGAGGCCATGTCTGTGATCCAAGGTTCCTGGAACTGACACAGGAAGGGGCTGTGAACCCTAAGTGGGTGCTATCTCCTCCAACTGAGGCTTCTCAGCCTGGAGATGGCAGTTACTCCTGGCCATGGTTGCTGAACACGGGAGACCAGTGCGGGCCACCCTGCTGTGAGTTCTCTGTGCCTACTCTCCAGTCCTGCGGATGAAGTGAGACCCTTGGGGAGAACGGGTTGTGGATGAAGGAGTGGACTGCAGCCTTGGCCTAGCCACTGGGCGGGATCCTTCTGGGTCCTGTGACTGTGTATCCAGGAGCAGAAACTTGTATTCTCAGGATTCAGAATCTACCCAGCACCAGAGATGTGTTTTCAGAAGAACAGACCTAGAAATGGGCCTCTGTGGCATTTCAGAGTCAGGCAAAGCAGGCAGGGCCGGGGAGCCACTGTGGGTCTACACAAGAAGGTTCCTGAGAGGCTGTCAGTTGTTGCCATCTAGCTTGCTGGTAACTCTGGCGCCTCTGCCAAGCCCCGCCAGACTCCTCTGGCTGTGATGGCGTTCTGTGCCATCCTCCTTGTCCCCAGCCTCTGCAGGATGCCCTCCCTACCCACCTCTCCCTGGGCCTTCGCTGTCCACTGGGCTGGGCTCATGTTCAAACAACTGGACTGGCAGGGCAACGGCTTTTCCCCACCTCAAGATGAGGTCCTTGCCCCCTTGGCCTAAAAACACCTTTAAAGCTCTGTGCCCTTCTCTGTCCTGTTCCAATCTTCTGCCTCCCAGTCATTCCCTGGGGACTATGGGGTCACTGTCCCGCAACCTATGTGGCCACACTGTGTGTCCTGTCAATCCAGAACTGCCTCTGAGCTCCAGGCTGACCACAGATCAGCCACAGCCTGGTACCTGCAGCCCCACTTTGCTCACCCTTCCCCTCCCCTCCTCCTTCCTTCCACACAGCAAGCCCACCTTTCTCCATGCACGCTCACCATAGCCTCCTTCCTTGTGACCTGAGCCCTCCTTTGTACCTGGCTGAGGCTGTCAGCCTCCTGGAGGAGTGGGGTCCACCGTCTTCCCCTATGCAGTGCGAGCTCACTTCTCACCCAGCAAGGTCGACTCACCTGCCTCCCTGTCTCTGGGGCTTTGCTGTTGCCCTGAAACCTAGCTGGGCTGGTCTTGCTCCCAGCTGGCTTCCCCCTTCTCGGATGTCCCATTGCAGGCCCCTGTCGTTCCTCAGGCACCAGTGTGCTTGTCTGCCACGGCGAGCTCGTCAGGGGCTTGTACCCTGGTCACCAAGCATGGTAGCAGCTGCCTGCGTTGGTCTCCATCTGGTCACTGCAGGTGCCAACCCTTTATCTCCCATGTTTTCCTGGGCCATGGAGGGCTGACCTCCATTTTGGGGAATGTGGTTGAGCTGTGGTAACCAGCTATACCCCAGGTGCCCTTCCCATGGTGGTACCTGCCCACCTTGCTGATGTGAACTAGGAAGTTAGGCTGCATCTCGGACTGGCCTTCGCTGGAGAGATGCTTTGCTGTCTCGGAGTCTCAGTCACTGTGTTCCCTCCCCACCTGTCTCCATGGCTGTTCGCAGCCCTCCCAGGTAATTTGGGGTCTAGGCTGGACTTCCTTTGTGGTTTGCTTTTCTGCTTCTCACTCTTGTTGTTTTTTTTTTTTTTTTTTTTTTGAGACGGAGTCTCGCTCTGCCACCCAGGCTGAAGTGCAGTGGCCGGATCTCAGCTCACTGCAAGCTCCGCCTCCCGGGTTCACGCCATTCTCCTGCTTCAGCCTCCCGAGTAGCTGGGACTACAGGCGCCCGCCACCGCACCCGGCTAGTTTTTTGTATTTTTTTGGTAGAGACAGGGTTTCACTGTGTCAGCCAGGATGGTCTCGATCTCCTGACCTCGTGATCCGCCCGTCTCGGCCTCCCAAAGTGCTGGGATTACAGGCTTGAGCCACCACGCCCGGCCTCTTGTTGTGTTAAGAAGGATTCCATAAAGGGAGAGTGGCAACCCTGCTGCTGCTGTGCCCGACCAGAGTTCTTGAGGGGCCCTGACCCTAACCCTCCAGCTCAGCCCTGTGCACCTGACCCTGTAAATGAGTGGGGTTTGCTGACTGTAATCCCTGACACCAGTAAAACCAAAAGGAGTCTTGGGGGCTCAGTATGAGAGCCAGGGTTACACACTCTGCCAAGTAAGGACAAACTGCTAGGCTGTATCCCATAATTTCAGGATGAGAAACGTTAACAATAAAATTTTGTAGTACACATAACCTCATTAAGAACTAATCACGTGGTCTCTGTTGTCCTGATTTCCTTGGGATTTGAGGGAATTTTGTCTGCAGCTCACCCTGGTCCATAGGCTGGCCATGGGCACTGGTGCTGTCCCTTATTCACCCCCTCAGGATTGACTTTGGGCAGAGCAGCCACAGACTCACCTGAAAGGGGCCTGCCCTCTACACCTGTGGGTATTTCTCGTCAGGTGGGACGAGAGACTGAGGAAAGAAAGAAGACAGAGACAAAGTATAGAAAAAGAACAGTGGGACCAGGGGACTGGCACACTCAGCATGCGAGGACCTGCAGCGGCGCCGGTCTCTGAGTTCCTTCAGTGTTTATTGATTACTATTTTCACTATCTCGGCAAGGAGAGTGAGGCAGGAGAACAGGGTGAACAGAGTGATGGTGGGGAGAAGGTCAGCAGGAAAACATGTGAGTAAAGGAATATGCATCATGAATAAGTTCAGGTGCTATGCCCGGATGTGCATGTAGGCTAGATTTAGGTTTCTCTTTACCCAAGCATCTTAGTGTAGCAAAGAGTAACAGGGCAGTATCACCACTGGCATATTTCGCCTCTAGCCACAGGGCAGTTTTCTATCTTAGAATAAACGAATAGTTGGCTTTACACCGAGACATTCTGTTCCCAGGGACATGTGGGAAACAGGCCTTGCTCTTTTACGAATCCTCCTCAGCACAGACCCTGTACGGGTGTTGGGCTGGGGGACAGTAAGGCCTTCCCTTGCCAGGAGGCCATATCTCAGGCTGTCTCAGTTGGGGAAATCCTTGGACAATACCCAGGCTCTCTCGGGCAGAGGTGCCTGCGGCTTTCCGCAGTGCATTGTGTCCCTGGTTAATAGAGAATGGAGAATGGTGATGACTGTTACCAAGCGTGCATCCTGCACAGCCCTAAATCCCTTAAACCTTGATTCCATACAGCACATGTTTCTGTGAGCACAGGATTGGGGCTAATGTTACAGATTAATAGCATCTCAAAGCAGAACAATTTTTCTTTGTACAGATCAAAATGGAGTTTCTTTTGTCTTCCTTTCCTACGTAGACACAGTAGCAATCTGATCTCTCTTCCTTTGCCCCACACTCACCCACTTCCTGCTGTGTTACCTTTCCCTGCCCAAGTTCCTGAAACGCAGATGGGGTTCCTGATAGCATCACCACTTAGGGAATAAGGGAGGAGGCCGGGCGCAGTGGCTCATGCATGTGATCTCAACACTTTGGGAGGTCAAGGTGGGTGAATCACAAGGTCAGGAGTTCGAGACCAGCCTGACCAACATAGTGAAACCCCGTCTCTACTAGAAACAGGAAAATTAGCCAGGTGTGGTGGCACGTGCCTGTTGTCCCAGCTACTCAGGAGGCTGAGGCAGGAGAATCACTTGAACCTGGAAGACGGAGGTTGCAGTGAGCTGCAGTGAGCTGAGATTGCGCCATTGCACTCCAGCCTGGGTGACAGAGCGAGACTCCGTCTCCAAAAAAAAAAAAAAAAAAAGTAAACATAAAGTTCTTCGAATCCACAGCCTGGCATGATCACAGCTAAGTGAGGGTCAGCAGCTGTATTGTGCTTTATACAGGTGCAGGTGATGGTCCTACCAGTGTGTCTGTCAAGGTCACCTGTCCTAAAATGACCTCCCTGAAAGGCTGAGTTGAAATCCAGTGAGGCTTGGCCTTGGACTCCTGGACAGCCTCTGGAGATCCCCCTCTTCAGGCTCAGCGGACACCCCACCTTCCCTGTCCATGTATTCCCTGCACTTCCTGTATTACCCACTGATGTGTAACAGGTCACCCTAAAGCTTCACTTAAAATAGCAATGATTTATCGTGTCTCATTGAATTGGAGACGGGGCACTGCCTCAGGGTTGGCCGTCTTTGCTCTATAATGTCGAGGCCTCACTGGGAGATGTGGTCCTGCGGCTGCCTTCACTTGAAGGGTCACTCACAGGTCCAGAGGTCAGTGCTGGTGAGTGGAGGGCCTGGCCGGCCTGAGTGCCTGTGGCCGGGCTGAGTGCCTGAGACGAAGCATTCAGTCTCACCATGGTTGGGCTTCCTCACAACATGATGGCTGGTGCTGGAGCAAACATGGACACGTGGCAGAAGGGTGGGGGTAGGGTGGGCTCTGGTGTCCAGGCAGAAGCTGTTTCCTTGGCATGTTGTATGCCTGGCCTCAGAAGCCTGGTGGCATCACTTTTGCCTCATTATTCAGGAGACCCACAGGCTGCAGTGTCTTTGGGTTCAAGGCAGAAAGCATCAGGAGGGACAGTGTGGAGCAGGGTGTCCGAGGCACTCAGGCGCTCCCATCTCTCCCCACACAGACCCTGGGCCCTCCCATCTCTCCAAGCTGACCCTGGGCCCTAGAAGCCAGGATGGGACCCATGTGAGCTGACAGCGCATGGGACTCCTTTCTGGAAAAGCCTGATCTTTTCACCAAGACAAACCTCATTAATGCAATGTGATTTATTAAATAATTGCGGCACAGCAGAAAACTAACATATGTTAAAATAGCATAGGAAAAAAGTAACTGGTTACAGTTGCCCAAACAAGCGTGCTCTGCCCTGCAGGGCCAGGCTGGCCCAGCCCAGCTGGTGAAGACAGCCTCAAGCTCTGTGGCCTGGTGGATCTCTTGTGCAGACGCTGGGCGTGATGGAGCTACTCCACATCAACCACCAGGGGAACCATGTAGTCAGAGTGTTTGATGCCAAAGGTGACAACTGGGGCGCAGGGCTTGGTCAGGGTCACCTGGGAGAGGAGGGGCTGTGATAAGAGCCAGCACCCCTGCCCCCACCTGCAGGTCTCTGCCCTGGCTGGAGCTGGGCTGCTGTCCTTCCGGAACCTGGGGCCAAGGTGGCCAGCAGCTGTGCTCCCAGTTTGAACACAGAGGACTCAGCAGTAGTAGCTGTCACGGTGTCTAGGGAAAAGGGCAAGGCCTCTGCTTCCTGTCCCTGAAGGGTTACCTGTGGGGCTAGTGCTGGAAGTATACAGGGTCCTCAGGGTGCAGGTGCCTCCCCTCCCCACCCACCCCTCCACCCCCTCTTGGCTGTGTCCTTCCATAGCCCAATGCTGTTTCCCCTTGTCTGTGTCCCAACCCCCCTCCCCTGCTCTTTCCTACACGTTCCTCTGGGTCAGGCCCCCGACCCCACCCTGACCCCTCTGAGCTGTGCTCTTCCTGGACCTTCTCAGGGCTGTGGGCGCCTGGTCCTGGCTTGAGGGTCTTGTCCCCTGGGGGCTCTACACGGGCAGCCATGGTGTACTGCGGAGCCTTGAACTTGGTCACCTGCACATCAGTCTGGTGGTAGGCTGCGGGACCTGGGGTCTGAGAGGTAAAGGAGGCTCAGACAAACTCGGCCTACCCAGGGCGCATGGCCCTAGAGGACAGGGAGCAAACTTGGACAGAGGGTCTCAGGCCGAGTCAACAGGGTCAGCTACAAGTTGGTGCCCGTGCATCAGGGTCCCCTTCTGTCTTCTGTCACACTGTGGAGACCACACCCCCCTGCTTGTGGGGCACCTTCTCATGCGGGGGTCGCTTCCTCCATTTCAGCCTCACGCTGGCAATGACCTCCCCCGTGTGTGCCAGTCCTGGGAACATCCCTGAGCCTGTGTGAGAGAGGCTGTCGCTGCCCCGCTGGACCTGAGGGCCTGGGGCTGGCAAAACCAACGTGGACAAGGGCTGCTGGGTGCCACGATGCTGCTTTCCCATCTCAGGCCCCTCAAGCTCTCAGGCATGTGCCACCCAGGGCCTTCGCACTGGCTGTTTCTGAAACCAGGACCCCTCCTCCCGCAAACAGCTCATGGTTTATTTTTTCCTCCTCCCCTTCTTTCCATGCCATCCTGTCTAAGATTGCCTCTCTCTCTCCAGGCAGTGCTTCATAAACCTCATCTCTTGTCCTCAGCACTGTCCAAGCTGGGGCCTGGGCCTCTCCCTTCTGGCCTATTGCCTGCCCCTCCTCAGCACTGCAGCATGACCCCAGCATGTGGCAGGCACCCAGAGGATGAAGGGCTGAGAGGGCTGAGGGGCATTGGCAAGGCAGGGCCGAGCTGGTGGGTCCTGGGTTCTGGGGGAGGGTTCAGATGACTGGGGGTGATTCTCCGTTCTCAGCTGGGGTGACCCTTGCCTTGTGTAGGTCGTCGCTGAAGCTGCCCAGCTTGCTGCGGCCCTTGATGGAAAAGGAGGGCTGGGAGACCTTGCCGACAGTGTTGGGCCCCATCACCATGGGCAGCATGTACGCAGCGGGGCCTGCAGGGTGGACGGGAGCCTCAGGGTGGACGGGAGCCTCAGGGTGGAACAGGGCCCACCGCTCCCTCTTTGGGGCTCCCCCAACTCTGGACGGGAGCCTCAGGCCGGAACAGGGCCCACTGCTTCCCTGGGGCTCCCCCAACTCTGGACTGGAGCCTCAGGCCGGAACATGGCCCACAGCTCCTTCCCTGGGTTCCCCCCAACTCTGGACGTGGAGCCTCAGGCCGGAACAGGGCCCACCGCTCCTTCCCTGGGTTCCCCCAACTCTGGAGATCAGCCGTCAGGCTGCCCCATCTCACCCACCCCACCCAGGATCCACAGGTCCATTTGGCTGAGGATGGTTGGGGCTGCTGCAGACCTGGGGTGCTGTCCACTCGGAACGTCTTTGTTCGGGCGGAGATGGAGTGGCTGGGCGCTGAGTCGAACACATACTTGGTGGATTTCTCTGGAAAGTAGTCACCTGGACAAGGAGCCAAGGGGGTTGCTGGGACAAGCAGGTGGGTATGCAGCCCAGTTTGGGGGCTCGAGGAGGACTCCCCAACATTCCAGGCATAGGGCCTCTGGGCTCCAACACAGGTGGTGACCAAGTCTGGTCAGGGGGTGTCCAGGATGGAAATACTGACTTCGGGGCTGGGGAGACAAGGGCCATTTTTGAGCAGGGAGAGTGGGGTCTGACGTTGGCCTGGCAGAGAAAGGTCCAGGTCGAAGCTGGGTTCTAGGGCCAGAGTCTTCTCTGCCCAGGTGTGATGGTGGCCCTTCAAGAGAGAAAGATGGGACAGGAGGAGCCAGGACGGCTGAGCTCTCTCACACCCTTGCTGCCATGAGGTTAGGGGCACCCAGCAGGGAGGGGCAGGCCCAGGGCTGCGCAGGGCAGGAGCCTGAGACAGGGTCACTAACCTGGGCCGGGGGTCAGCAGAGTCTTGCTGTGGTAGCGCCCCAGGATGGAGTAGGCAGGGCCAAGGTCCTTGCCAGTCCTCAGTATCTTGGGGTTTACATTATAACGGGGTCCTGGGGAGCAGTTCTCTGCCAGGAGCATGGGGGCCCCGCGGAAGCTGTAGGCTGGCGCACGGAGCTTGGTGGGCGTGTGCTTCACGAAGCCTGTGGACACAGTGGGCCCTGAGCAGCCTGGACCTGCCCTTCTCCCCATGGGGAGTCAGGGATCGAGCCCCAGGCCCTTCCCGGCCCCCCAACCTGCCCGCCTGGCTCCTGACCCTCCCAGGCTCTCAGGCTCTTACCAGTTGTTGGTGGAATCAGGTACTTGGGTCCAGGGCTGCTGTAGAGGGCCATGATGGGTCCCCGGGGGCGATGGGGCCTCCAGGTGCCCATCCATACCTCCTCCGTCATGGCCAGCTCTGTCCATAAGTGAGAGGCTTACCAGGTGCTGGGAGGCCCGACCCTGTCCCAGGCCGGCCCCTGATGCCCCCATCCCTGCTCTTGCTGACACTGAGGGGTAGACCTGCTGAACCTGCCACAGCGTCCTCAGTGGGGATCTCCAGCTGGGAGCCGGGAGTAAGGGATGGTAGGCGCTTGCTGCATGGGACTGTGAGCTCCTCACCAGCTTAACTGTATCCCAGAGCTACTGTCCATGCTGGCCCTCAACTCACCACCGTTTTCGGCTCTAAGGGAGCCCTGGGCGGGTTTCTCCTACTTAGAGTGGTGATCAAAGACGGGGAACTTCTTGATTGAGGCTGTGCTGAGGGGCAGGGAGGGGGCCCCCCAGGAGGGAACTATAACTTCTTCGGCGCAGGGACAGCACTCAGAGCAGCCTACGGACCCATCCTCCTCAGAGACCGTCCTGTCCCCCCTGGCCTTGGTGCCAGGGAGTTCCTGCAAAAGGAGCATGGAGAGAAAGGCCTTCTCTCTTCAGGGGCTTACAGAATTGGGGAGAGGTCCCCCAGTCTAAACTCTAGAATGTGGCTCTGTGGGATGACGGGTTCTAGATTCTGTCTGTGTGACCAAGACAATGGCCTCTGCCTTTGATCCCCTCACCAGATCTCACCACCAGGTCCCCTCACCAGGTTCCGCCAACAGGACACCCCTATAAGTCCCCCTGACCAGGTTCCCCTCACCAGGCCTCCCACCACCATGTCCACTCACCAGGTCCTCCTCGCCAGGTTTCCTTGGCCATCTCCCCTCACCAGGTTCCCCTCACCATGTCCCCTCACCAGGTTCCCCTCACCACGTCCCCTCACCAGGTACTCCTCGCCAGGTCCCCTCACCAAGTCCTCCTCGCCATGTTTCCTTGGCCACGTCCCCTCACCAGGTACTCCTCGCCACATCCCCTCACCAAGGCCCCCCCCATGTCCCCTCACCAGGTTCCCCTAAGTTCCCTCACCAGACCACCCCTCACCAGGCCCCCTCACCATGTTTCTCTCACCAGGTCCCCTCAGCCAGGCATCCCCTCATGAAGTCCCCCTCACTGGGTCCCCTCACCAGGTCCCCTGTAACCAAGTCCTCCAGGGCCCCCTCCTAGGGCTTCGTCAGCCAAATGAAAATCCAGGCAGAGACCATCTAGGCAGGTGGACAGAGCACAGAGCCAGACAGCACTGCATGGCCTCCTGGCCAGGCTCAGACAGGACAGAGGTGTGCAGAGAGGGGCCAGGGCAGTGAAGTTTCAGGGCTCAGCACCCAGGGTGGCCAAGGATGTGTCAGTTCCACTCAGCTGTGCGCCCAGAAGAGACCATAGATTGGGAAACTGAGGTGCTGGAAGGTTCTGGCTGTGGGAGAGCCTGGGATCCAGGGTCAGGATTAGGGTCTGTGCTGGTTGTGGTGGGCGTGAGTCATTGTGGGCGCTGCTGCTGCCCTGGCTGACCTCCTCAGAGGCTGCTCACCTGTGGCTCCCATCCCCCTTGGACACGGGTGTACCTTTTTTTCTCTTGGCCTTGTCCGGGGTCGTCTTGGGGCTTGAGCCCCTCCCAGTGTCTTCTAGGCAGACTCTTTCCTTGGACGACTTTGGGAAGAGAGATTGTTCTCAAACCCGCTGGCTCCTGGGCTGCCTGTGTGACTGTTTTTTGCACACAGCTATTGTCTTACGACACCAGCTTTCAGATGCTGAGCAACCTCCGCCCTGACCTAGCCCATGGGTGACATGGGGTCTGTGTCCACCCAGTCCTGGACACTTCCTCTTTCTGGGGCTCCCTGTCTCTCCCACCTCATACTGCTGCCTCTGCCGCCCGTCTCCCTCTGGACGCCCTCTGTCCACATGGTGCTGTCTGGCTCTGTGCTCTGTCCCCCTGCCTACATGGCGTCTGCCTGGATTTCCATTTTGGGTCTTGCCTGTGGTGTGCCTGCTCCTGTGTGGACCCTGTGTGCCCCTCTGTAGAGGACCTTCACACATGTGCTCCTTGATCAGGACCCTCTGTCTGTGGGTCTGTGTGTGTGGCTGTGTCCCTGAGTATGTTCTCAATGTCCCCATTTGTGTGTCCGTCTGTGGGGGGAGAGAGAGGAACCAGAGCCTGAGCTGCGGAAGGCTTTATTGATTACACGGTTTGAGGGTAAATTTCCATGTGGGGAGGTGGTAGTGGGCGGCGTGTCCATGGCTGCTTGTGTGGCAGGTCCTATGGCTGAGCCATGTCTGAGGTCCACTTAGGCACCGTCCTGACTGCCCAGCACATGCACCTGGAAGGCAGACACACGCGGACTAAGAGGGCTGTGATCAATAAGCGGAGAGCCACAGCTCCATCAGGCAAGCAAGGCCCTCTGTGGGGGGATCTGGCATATTGCTGTCCATCTCCTCCCAGCAGCTGAGTGGTGTGTGTGCATGCATGATGGTGTACACACATGTATGTGTGTGCGTATCCCAGTGTGAGCATGCGTGTGTGAATGTGTTTATACATGTGTGCACACAGTGTGCATTGCATGTCTGCACCTGTGTTTGGATCTCTGTGTATGTTCACATGTGTGCGTGGAGGAGTAGCCCACAGACTGGGGAGGAGCAGGTCTATGGAGTCTGGGGGCTGCTCTGTGGACAGGAGGTCTGGGGTGCCCACCTGAGCTGGCTGATGCGGGTTCAATGTCTGTGGGTGGTGTGATGTCTGTAGGTGGTAGGCTGTGGGGGTGCTGTGTTGGGTGATCTTGGTAAGGCTGCAGGTCTTTAGAAAACGGTGTGCCCCCCCGCCCTCATACCAGCAACTTGATCAGCTCTGCCTTGTGCATTGGCTGCAGGCCGTCTATGCAGGACTTGAGTTCAGTCATTGCTGCCTTGGCATCTTCGTTGACATTGTACTTGCCCAGGGGCCCCTCATAGAGCTCCTCTGGGGTCCCCACCAGTAGTGTTTGCAGGAAGTCCATGAAAAACTCATTGCAGTCCTCCCCTGTGGCCAGCCCTGCATCACGAGCGAGATGATGCCAAGACAGGACAGGGTGACTCCGGTGCAACCACAGCCCCGGACCTGCCCCGGGGCTCCAACCTCCATGGTCTCCAGACCTTCCCCTTCAATGCCCACCCCTCCTCCCCAGGGCTTCCTCCACAACACCCCCAACTCCACCTTGCCCGAAGACCCCTTCACATCCCCCTTAATCTTAGCTGCTCCAGTTTCCACTCAGCATTCCCTGGGATCACCAGGGAAGGAAAGTTAAGCCCCTGGTGTGGGGGAATTTCCCCTGATGAGAAGCTGGTCTGACCAGGGGCTTGAAGGGCCAGGTCAGGCTGGATGGGGCTGGGGTAGGGTCAGCTGGGCTTTGTCTTTGGTTGGGGTGGAGTTGGGTGGGCACGGGTTCTGCAGGGTCCTTACCCACTTCTGTGACAGGTGCAGGTGGAATGTTCACTGCGGGGGCTTAATGCCAGGATTTTACCTTCTCGGGTACCCCCAACCCCCCTGCCCCTGAATGTTCTGGAAACCCCAGTGGCACAGACTCACGGCAGATGCAGAACAGGGTGAGGGCCACCAGCAGGAGGGCACGGCTCCCCTTCATGCCAGCAATCTCAGGAGCTGCCTCCAGCCAGAATCCCGGGATTTTATGCCTCACTGGGCAGCACCTCTCCCACAGGGCGGACCGGACCTGCCCATTAGGATCTGGCAGCCAGCTCAGATGAGGTTTATTCACATCCCTGTCTCCCAGTGGGTGCCAAGCAGCAACAGGCATGGGATGGCTGTGTGACAGGTGGTTGGCAAGTGGCTTTAGGGTGTGTCAGAGAGAACAGGTGTGTTAGGAGGGAACGCTGGTGAGGGAGGCCATGCCAGCCGGTCGGTGAAGAAGGCAGCGGGTCCTGGTCACCAAGGGCCTCTAGTCATGCCTGCCCTTGAGGCCGAGGGTGGTGGGATCTGGGCTTGGTCCCATGCCTTTCTTTTGAGGTAGGAATCCCTCCTCTTATCACTGTGCTGTGTGATCAGGGTTTGCATCTGGAGGTCTCTAACCAGGCAGGGACCTCCTCAGTACTCAGATGGGGGTGGCTGACTGGGGGAAGGGGGTGCAGGCTGCACCAGTGGACACTGCCGTAGGACTGCCTGGGGACTGTGGATCTGTGGGGTGAGGAGCAGCCCAGTGGCAGTGCCTAGAAGAGAGAAGGTGGCCTGAGAGGGTCCGAGAGACATAGAGCTGGCCATGCCGGGGCCAGGTCTGAGCAGGAAGTGAGGAATGGGAGAGGCTGGAGGTACATCAGTAGCCAGGACAGCAAGGAGAGGTCGAAGGCCCTGGGGAGATGGTCCCAGGACATATTACAATGGACACAGGAGGTTGGGACACCTGGAGTCACCTAACAAAACCACCCCAAGAGAGGCCATGAGTAGGGGTTTCCCAGTCCAGTCCTCTGGCTGAGCCACACGGTCCAAATACAAAGGGCCCCTGCTGCCACCTGGTGGCTGATGGCGTCCCCAGGATCCCGGGCCACTCGCGTTTAGGCTCTGGAAGACCAAGGTCCTTGTTACAGTGAAGGACTCCTAAGTGAGCAGAGATTTACACCTACTCCAAACAATGAAATAAAATCCCATCGTGGACAAAGTATGCGGGATGGAAATAAGGCTAGGGTAAGGGTTAGGATGAGGATTATGGTTACGGTAAGGGGTTAAGGGTTAGGGCTCAGCACTGGTTAGGAGTTAGGGATACAGTAGGGCTGAGTTAGGGTTAGGGTTTGGATTAGGGTTCAGGATCGGGTCAGGGTCGGGTCAGGTTCAGGTCAGGTCAGGGTCGGGTTGGGTCAGGGTCAGGGTCAGGGTTGGGGTAAGGTCAGGGTCAGGGTCAGGGTTAGGGTTAGGGGTAAGGTCAGGGTCAGGGTCAGGGTGAGGGGTAAGGTCAGGGTCAGGGTTAGGGGTAAGGTCAGGGTCAGGGTCAGGGTTAGGGGTAGGGTTAGGTGTAGGGTTAGGTGTAGGGCTAGGGGTAGGGTTAGGGTTACGGGTTAGGGTCAGGGTTAGGGGTAAGGTCAGGGTCAGGGTGAGGTCTGGGTCAGGGTTAGGGTCAGGGTCAGGGTTCGGGTTTGGGATCAGGTTAGGTTTTGGGTTCAGGTTCGGGATCGGGTTAGGTTTCGGATTCGTGTTAGGGTTAGGGTCAGGGTCAGGGTTCGGGTTAGGGTTCGGGTTAGGGGTTATGGTTCGGGTTCAGGTTCGGGTTTGGGTTAGGGTTAGGGTTCTGGTTAGAGTTGGGGTTAAGGGTTAGGGTTCGGGTTGGGGTTCGGGTTGGGGTTCAGGTTGGGGTTGAGGTTCGGGTTGGGGTTCATGTTCGGTTCGGGGTCAGTGTTCTGGTTGGGGTCAGGGTCAGGGTTAGGGTCCGGGTCAGGGTCAGGGTCAGGGTCCGGGTCAGGGTCAGGGTCTAGGTCCGGGTCAGGGTCAAGGGTCAGGGGTCAGGGTCAGGGGTCAGGGTCAGGGGTTAGGGTCTGGGTCCGAGTCCGGGTTTGGGTTCGGGTTCGGGTTCGGTTTAGGGTTAGAGTTGGGGTTAGGGTTTAGGGTTAGGGTTGGGGTTGGGGTTGGAGTTAGGGTTGGGTTACGGTTAAGTTTGGGATTGGGGTTGGGGTTGTGGTTAGGGTTAAGGTTAGGGTTAGCAAATTTCTCAACTTGTCGACCTTTGTTATTAACTGAGCGGGACTTAGGAGAGGAGCCTGGTTCTCTCCACACACCCCAGCAGGTACACTGCCCATGTGCCTGTGGATAACAGTGGTTCCTGTAGGGCCGGCATGTGTGGACCAAGTAGCTGTGAAATTTCTTCTGAAGAAAACGCACAGGAGGACGCAGGTGAGCTCAGTGGAGAGGGGCGCTACCCCAGGGGACGTCCACATACATGGACTTGTGAACCCCGAATATCTGAGATGATCTCAGTCAATTTGGAAAGTTTATTTTGCGAAGGTTGAGGACGCACGCCTGTGACACAGCCTCAGGAGGTCTTGACCACATGTGCCCAAGGTGGTCGGGACACAACTTGGTTTTATACATTTTAGGGAGACAGGAGACATCAATATATGTAAGATGAACGTTGGTTCCGTCGGGAAAGGTGGGACAAGTCGAAGCAGGGAGGGGGCTTCCAGGTCACAGGTAGGTGAGAGACAAACTGTTGTATTCTTTTGGGTTTCTGAATAGCCTCCCCAAAGGAGGCCATCAGATATGCACTTATCTCAGTGAGCAGAGGGGTGACTTTGAATAGAAGGGGAGGCAGGTTTGCCCTAAGCAGTTCCCAGCTTTTTTCCCTTTAGATTAGTGATTTTTGGGCCCTCAGATTCATTTTCCTTTCACAGGCTAAACAGCTTTAGGAACTGAAAGGTTCATGAGACTGTAAGGAAGAGTCGAGTTGCTCCAGGTGAGTCTTGGCCGCAACAGCACGCAGGACCTGGGCGCACACGAGGGGCTCCTGGGAGGGTTCGGGAAAGGGAGCTGTGAACCCTGACTATCTGAGATGGTTTCAGGTGATTTAGAAGGTTGATTTTGCCAAGGCTGAGGACGTGCACCCGTGACAGCCTCAGGAGATCCTGACGACAAGTGCCCAAGGTGGTCAGGGCACAGCTTGGTTTTAGGGAGACATGAGACGTCAGTCAATACATGTCAGAAGTACCTTGCTTCCATCCAGAAAGGTGGGGACAACTGGAAGCAGGGAGGGGGCTTCCAAGGTCACAGGTAGGTGAGAGACAAATGTTGCGTTGTTCTGAGTTTCTGGTTAGCCTCTCCAAAGGAGGCGATCGGATGTGCACCTATCTTAGTGAGGAGATAGGTGATTTGGAGTAGAATGGGAGGCAGGTTTGCCCTGAGCAGTTCCCAGCTTGGCTTTTCCCTTTAGCTTAGTAATCTTGGGGCCCCAAGATTTTCTTTTCACAGAGCCTATGACTAGATTTGCATTTTTAGATCCTGCGAGGAGGCTGCTACACACATGCAGAAGTCATGCTGGTGGCCTGGACTCCGAAGGGAGAGAAGTGGGTTTGAGAGACATTTAGGAGGTAGGATTGCCAGGGCC